CACACACACACACACACACACACACACACACACACACACACACACACTCTCTCTCTCTCTCTCTCACACCTACTCACCCGTCATCATGGAATAGGCCAGGAAAGAGGCAGGAGAGGACGCTGAGGGGGCTGATGGAGAACAGGTACACATTCACCACATGGCCCACACTGTGTAAGACTAAGGAAGAACAGACAGGGTGGTGAGCTTGGGGCAGCCCAGAGTGGGTGCTCACTCATTGAGCCCAAGGTGGAGGACCCTGGCTAGAGTAGGGGGCCTGAAGAAGCACCCTAGGGGGCTTCTGACCTTTGTTTTTTGTTGTTTGTTTGTTTGTTTGTTTGTTTTTAGATGGAGTCTTGCTCTTGCCCAGGCTGGAAGGCAGTGGTGCAATCTTAGCTCACTGCAACCTCTGCCTCCCAGGTTCAAGCAATTCTTCTGCCTCAGCCTCCCAAGTACCTGGGACTACAGGTGCATGCCAGTACACCTGGCTGATTTTTGTATTTTTAGTAGAGATAGGGTTTCACCATTATTGGCCAGGCTGGTCTCGAACTCCTGACCTCGAGTGATCTACCTGCCTCAGCCTCTGAAAGTGCTGGGATTACAGGCATGAGCCACTGCACCTAGCCTAGACTTCTAACCTCTAATCAATCTCCTGGCCCTGCTGCACACCCCATAGACACACCATCCATGCACATAACCATGTGAGTCTGAAATTACAGCATTAGAAGTTCATTCCTGTGCTTTCTCTCACAGAGTCATACTTTAAAACATAAAAAGTTGGAGAAATGAAACATTATGCACACTCATTCTGGGGTGTTAGTAACTCATCAGCTGAGGCTGGTGAGGTACCCTGGAAAGTGTGGGAAGAGGCACTTGGCAGTGACTAGTGATGGGCTCCCTGGCTTACTTTACACCCTGGCCCAGGCCAACTCCATCCTTATGGAGAAGGACGTTAAAGGTAAATGCCAGCACAGAGGGGTCTCTCAGAGGAGGGAAAGCCAGCGGGGTGGGAGGCCCTGGAGAGCCTCCCAAGGACACCCAGGCCCTGCCTGTGAGGACGATAGCAGTGGAGGCAATGAGGCGATGGAAGTCCACAGCGGCGTCGAAGGGCACATAGCAGTTGAGGAAGGTTTCTCGCAGGAAGGTGATGAGGTTGCGGCACATGGTGAGCAGGATGTAGGAGAACATGAAGGAGATGCTGGCCGCCGTGCCCCGTGACAGGATGATGCCTACGCGGGTGGTGTCCGTGATGCCCGTGTGGTGTGCGGCAAAGGCGTAGTCTGCACAGGGGGCCCAGGCAGGCAAGGGAGAGGCAGTGCAGAGGAGAGAGAGCTGGTTAGGGAGGTCATCAGCTGCAGGCGCTGGCCAGTTGCCACTCACAACAGGCCTCCCCCGCACAGTCTTCACTCAGGCTCCATTCAGCAGGGTGCAGTCACCCGACCCAGGGCTGGCAGTTATTGCAGGCCCCGCCCTGGGGCTGTCTGTCACTCACAGTAGGCCTCACCCCCAGGGCGATCACTCATTGCAAGCCTAGGGACAGGGCTTGTGGTAAGTGAAGTCACTCACAGTAGGCCCTCTCCAGGAAAAGTCCCCCAGTGATGGCATAGAACACGGCCACGCAGCCGATGTGGCGCCGGTAGTTCTCAATGAAGCGCTTGAACTGCTGCATGGTCTGGTGGAGACGGCTGCGCTGGAACTTCTCTCGGTGCGCCTCAGTGAACAGCAAGGGCTGGAATGACGTTACCCTGGGAGACAGGAAGCCTTAGCCCTTGGCCCCCCATCAGACCCAACGCTAGTGGGGCCCCACTTCCCAGAGGGGAGCCGCCCAGAAGGAGGGAAGCCCACCGCTTCTGAAAAAGCAACTGGGTGACTCTTGTGGAAGTAGGTTCAGACCTCACTACATCAGGCTATATTGCACTCCATAAGCAAGCTGGCAGCAGAGGGATGGCCCGGAATGGTCATTTCTTCCCAGGGGATGCACTCCATCCAACCATGTTCATTCACACTCAGTCTGTAGCTCCCAACCCCCACCCAGCACTCACAGCCTTTACTAGAGACTCAAAGGATACCTCTTCCATGAGGGCACCTCTGACCTCCCTGGCAGAGGTGAGTGCTTCCTTGAGTTCCAAAGCCCTTCGCTCTTACCACTATTAGAATAGTCATCAGTTGACATTGAAATGATCAGTGTACCAAACCATCTCCTTAGATTGTGATGTTCTTGGACAAGGACTGTTCACCCTGCCTGCACCCACAATGTTTAGCACAGTGCCTACCAACAAGGAAAGGATGTATGTAAACTGAAGCAATGGGTGAAGTGCCTGGGCTTAAGGGGAAGAGCAGGCATACTTCTTGCCAAACCTCCGCCGAATCTCCTGGGGAGGGTCCGTGTCCATGGGGCACTGCAGTCTCTGAGGTGTCAACTCAGTCTCAACGCTGCTGCGGGAACAGCGGGCACTCACTCTGGGAGAGGGACTAAGACAAGAATGGTAAGAGATAGGATGCTAGCCATCTCAGCCACTTGTTCCTCTGCTGCCCTGGTCTGCCTCCGCACCCATTCTGTTGAGGAAGGATGAGAGCTGTCAGAAGGGGACAGCAGGATTCCCAAGGACACCTATAGACAGAGTGAGTCAGATCTTGGGGGTCCTCACTAAGGCTTGTTACATAAGCCTTTACCCATCACAAGGGCATTGGGGCCAGGCTGTAAGTGAGAGGGAAAATCCAGCAGGCTTTCTGCTTGCCCTGGCACAGGGCTGTGTGCCTAGAGAAAGGGGTGCCTTTTTCTAATTTGTTTGAAGGTGTTACATGGACTAGCGGTGGCCCTGATCCCAGCCATTCAGGGGAGAGGGATGTTGGAGGGAGGAAATGTTGGAGAGAAATGGCAACATTTCCTCTTTCCAACATCCCAGATGGGGGCTCACCAGATCTTCTCCTGGCTGATGTAGGAGGCTCGCCGGCAGAGGTCCTTGATGACTTCAGGCACATCCACCCCTGAAAAGCAGAGCCAGGCTAGGGAGCAGCACAGGGTCCAGAGCCCAGGAGGGCCTGGCTCAGATGCATAGCACTCCTGCCATCCCATGTTCAGACACAGTGGACAGTCCCAGACCAATGGAGGCCCTGCCTTGAGGTGCCCCAATCTCATCCCTTGTCCCCAGGGTGAGCTGGACCCAGCTGTAGGTGGACAGGGAGAAGGCCTGAAAGAAAGTTGGCCAGGCAGGCTTCCCTAAAGTGTATCCATGCTCAGTCCCACTTCTGGGACTATGGGGTAGAGTTCAGGAACTGTATATAACCTGCCTGCTGAGCCCGCTGTGCCATAAAAATTCAGCTTAAGATCCTCCAGCTTAAAACCTCCAAGAGTTAAATGTAGAATCTAGGTGTATGGGAGATCATACTACAGTTCTTTCTACTTTTCTATGTTAGAAAATGTTCATAATAAAATATTCAGGAGAAAAATTCTCCCAGGAGCCACCCCATTGTTCCTGTCTGGGTTGAGCACTGAAGGCAGGGCAGGACTAAGCTGCAAAGCCAAGTTTCCACAGGAGGCCTGGGAATCTCTGGGTTTCTTCCAAGTACCTGAAGATGACCCTGGTCTATAGCTGAGGCCAAAAGAAGGTAAGCTGAACTAAATTAGATTTAAATCAGAATGTTTTTAAAAAAAGCATTAATGCCTGTACTCACAGATGTTCCACAAACAGCAAATGTGGCACAATGGTAACAAATAGCATATCTAGGTGAAAAGTGAAGGAACATCTCTTTTTTTTGAGACAGAGTCTCACTCTGTTACCCAGGCTGGAGAGCAGTGGCACAGTCTTGGCTCACTGCAATCTCCTCCTCCTGGTTCAAGCGATTCTTGTGCCTCAGGTTCTGGAGTAGCTGGGACTACAGGCATGCGCCACGACACCTGGGTAATTTTTGTATTTTTTATAGAGATGGGGTTTCACCATGTTGGCCAGGCTGGTCTCAAACTCCTGACCTCAAGTGATCCTCCTGCTTTGGCCTCCCAAAGTGCTGGGACTACAGGCATGAGCTATTGCACTTGGCTCTTTGTTCCTTTTCTTTAATTTTTAAATCTTTAAGAAAAGAAACAAAAAACAAAAAACTGTAGTCAACAACAATGTACAAGACAACAACAATGAAAATAAAATAATAGTGCTAATCCTTTTCAATCCCCAACCCTGGTCTTACCCTCCATCCCAGGTGCTGGATGTCCCTGGGACTCTATGGTGTGGGCTCCCTTCCATTTACCTTCCTTGCCCCTGCCCTCAGGCCCAGGTGCCTGCTGCTCTGGCTGCCTGGGAAAGGTAAAAAGCTGCAGAATCAGGAGTGCTGGCTTCCTTCTCTTCCAGCTCTCCTTACCCCAGGGGGAAGCCCTGACCAGAGGCTCATCTGTGTCTTGTCTAACTTGCCCCTCTTCCCTATGGAGGCTGCTCAGCCTACCCCTTCTCATAATCCTGGGAGGGGCTGGGTTTGGCCTTAGCATGCCCCAGTGAGAGTGCCACGATGAGAAGATGCCATAACAACTCAGAGCACACCAGAGACAGACACTCCTGCCTGCTTCTTGCCCCTTCCTCACTCTTAACTCTAGCTGCCTCCAATTGAATCAGACACTGGGGCAGGAAGTAGGGGGAAGGACAACAGAACTGGGTCTTCATGTACTCAGCAAACATTTACTGAGCACTCAGCCAGGAGAAATAGTGGCAAAAGAACCCCAAGAGACAGCACCTCACCCCGACAACCAGACGCTCCAGCTGAAAGGAGTATGGCCCGGGTAGGGCTGTAACAGGGAGACAGTCTCCCTCTGCCCTGGGCACCAGGCACAGAAGGATTTGGCAGGGAGCCAGGGGAAGCAGAGTTCCAACCACTATTCCCTACCCTATCCCAACCCTACCGACCCCACCAGCAGAGCTGCATTATGACTTTCGTGGGCCCTAGGCACTTTTAAAACCTTTTTGGGCCCTTTCCTTTATAAAAATTAAAAATAAAAATATTTAAAAATTATATAATTATGATGATATAAAGAAAACTACAATCCAAGCTGTATACATTATTATATACTCATGTTACTACATTCATTTTTTCCTTCTGATTTTAAGAGAAATTAAAACATTTCTGTGGACTCCTAATAGTAGGTGGGCATTGTGCCTACTATGCCTAACCGGTAAGTCAGTGCTGCCTACCAGGCTGCCCCACCTTTGACACAGAGCTGTGTGAACCGGAGCTCGCTGTCATGGTCCCGCAGCATGAAGTGAAAATCCTCCCATGTCAGCTCCTCCTTGTCCTGGAAGCCTGACTCCTGGAACATGGACTCCACCACCTCAGCCAGCTGGGCCTTGGACAGACAGTTGTTGGAGATCTCGATGAAGGACCTGGGGTTAGGGGAGTGGAACCATCAGGCCCTGACTGGGGCCTGGGGCCCAGACACAGTCACACTTGGTGTGACTCCATCACACCAAGCCCTCGCTGCCCATATGGAAGGGCCCTGACTGGTCGAAACCCAAGCCCCCTGCTAGTTGGAGCAGCCTCTGGTTACATGGGTAAGGAGGCCTCTGCCTTCCTTGGCCCTTCTGCTCTCTTCTTCAGGTCCCACCTCTTTGCCCTGGCATCCCTGCCCTGGCCCATTCTCTTGGCTGTTCCAGAAAACCAACCTCAGCATCCTGATGAACTCATCCTTGGAAATGAGGCCATTCCCATCGAAGTCATACATACGGAACATAAGGTGAGACTTTTCCTCAGGAGAGCCTGGGAGAGGGAGGACTGCATAAGGAGAGTCCCCTGCACCCCCAGGCTGGCCAGAAGGGGCCTCACACCAGTGTGATGACCAACTGCTGGACATAGCAAGAGTCACTCTGCTTCCTGACCCCTGCCTGGTCACTCCTGGGCATCTGCCATAGCTGGAGACCTGGCCCAGGGCTTCCCCACCTCCAACAAATCCAGCCCCTGTCCAGCCTCTCCTGTCATTCCCTCCTCTCTCACCTTTCATGAAGACCACCAGGATGTCCAGGAACTCCCGGAAGGACAGGTAGCCATTGCCATCCTTGTCAGCCAGAGAGAACATGGACTCCACAAACATGTCCTGGGGCTTGAGGCCCAGGGACTCGGCAAACTCGGCCCTGCTCAGCTCGCAGGTCAGGGCCTCCCGCACCTTCTGGGAGGAGTCCAGGGGCAGGGTCCCTGCATCGGCCTGGTTGATGTCCAGCACCTGCACTTGGGCAGCAGCAGAGGGAGGGAGAGAAGACAAGGATTCCTTGACTTGAAGTTCAGCTGAGCCCTGTAGGAGCCACCTTTTGAGGTGTCTTCCCAGGACCCCCTCTGCTAGGTGGCCCTATGCTGGTCCCCGAGGCCATGTTTGTTCTACAGAGCCCTGACCCTCTGTCTGCTGACTGTACAGGGAGCTCACCTGGAACTAAGAAGTATGAGGTCTGTCTTGACCTCAGCACAAGAAAGCTCAGAAAGTATGGACCATTCTCTTCTTCCAAGTGCTCAGCCACAGAGACAAAGTAAGACAGAGGCAGCCTAGGAGAGGAGTGGCCTCATTGGCTGACAGCTTTCCTTTTCTAGGTCCTTTCAGGCCAACTTGAAGTCCTCCCTTTGGAATTCCTGAGACATCCCCGTATCCTCAGAGTCAAGTGACCTTTTGTCGATGCTAGCTTATTGGGGTTTCTCTTAACTTATATGTAAAAAAGTTTTAACTAAAACAAGGCTTCAGCTGGGCTTAGGAAAGGGGAATTCTCATTGTGGCCATCCCCAGCTCACCCAGATGCTGCCCCAGCGTGAGAGAATAGGCAGAGAGGAAGCAGGCAGGCCATAGGCCATAGTACCTGTCTTTCCTGCCTGTCAACTGGGGTGCCTACTCCAAATCTGGTGATGGTTTCAAGAGGTGAAACCTTATAGCTTCAAACAAGGTACTGTAGTGGAAAGAGCCTAGTGCTGGAGGCAAGAGACCCAGGTTCATGTCCCAACTCTGTCACCTTGCTGCATGACCTCAGGCAAGTCTCTTCAGTTGTCTGGGATTCATTTCCTCATCTGCCCTACTTATCTTACAGGTTTATTGTGAGAATCAACAAAAATTGTTATGTTGATATCACTGTGCGGATATGAGAGACTGAAAGCCACCCCCAGTATCTATCAGCACCCTTCATGTCTCAGCACAGGGAGTTCCCATAGCCCCGATGGATCCTGAATGAGTGGAGATGCCCAGTCCTGCCTAGGCGCTGGCACAGAGTCATCCAGCTGAGGGTCCCTCTGTTCTAGTACATACTCAAGTTCAAGTTCAAGTTCAACTTGTTTGTCCTCAAATGACTTTAAGTCATGTTCCTGGCACAGAGTACATGTCCCTTCAATGGTTGCTTCTCTCATGAATCCTCTCCCCAGCCATGACCCTGCTATTTTTCCTCAAACATCAATTTTTTTGCCCTTCTATGGGGCCCTCTGTTCAGTCCCTCGTGTCCCTTTCCTCTGAGCCAACACTTGTCCAATTTTAAGTCCTTGCCAAATGTCACCTCCATCATGACCTTACAGCAGACCGAAGGCTCACCGTCTTCTCTGAGATCCTCAATCACTGATTTCCTGAGTCACTTTTACAGCCCTCTTTCTTTGCCAGTTATCTTCCTTTCTTTGCATGTCCCATCTTCCCAGTGGAATGATAAGCTGCTTCAGTGGGAGAATTATGCTGTATTTATCTTTTTTTTTTTTAATTGAAATAGAATCTCTGTTGCTCAGGCTCGAGTACAGTGGCCTGATCTCAGCTCACTGCAACCTCTGCCTCCCAGGTTCAAGCGATTCTTCTGCCTCAGCCTCCTGAGTAGATGGGATTACAGGCATGTGCCACCACAACTGACTGATTTTTGTTTTTTGTTTTTTTGGAGATGGAATCTCTGTCTGTCACCAGGCTGCAGTGCAGTGGTGCAATATCGGCTCGCTGCAACCTCTGCCTCCCAGATTCAAGCTATTCTCTTGCCTCAGCCTCCCGAGTAGCTGGGATTACAGGCACCTGCCACTACGCCCGGCTAAGTTTTGCATTTTAGTAGAGACAGGGTTTCACCATATTGGCCAGGCTGGACTTGAACTCTGACCTCATGATCCACCTGCCTCAGCCTCCCAAAGTGCTGGGATTACAGGTGTGAGCCACCTCACCTGGCCTTAATTTTTGTATTTTTAATAGAGATGGTGTTTTGCCATGTTGGCTAGGCTGGTCTTGAACCTCTGACCTTAGGTGATCCACCCGCCTCGGCCTCTCAAATGTTAGGATTATAGGCATGAGCCACCATTCCTGGCCATATTTATCTTTATCTACCACGTTTCTCCACTCCTCTACCCTGCCCCCAGACTGCCTTTATTTTTGTGCCAGCTGTGGACTCAAGTCTCTGCATTTTTGTCTTGTTTCCCTACATCCTCCCAGTCGCTCTCAGAAGCCTGCAAGGTGGACATCAATGACCCCTGGAGGGCTCTGGCAGCTGCACTCCCCCAAGGAGGGGTGAACAATATTTCTCTTGGTGCCCACACTGCCCTGGGTCTCTGCAGCCTTTGGGGCAGGCTGAGATGAGCGAGGATGGGCAGCCCTGAGGAGAGCGATAAGCAATGCATGCAGAGAAGCCCATTCCCAGGCATCCCCTGACTACAGCCTCGTAGTTGGAGGTGGGGTTCAGTTGGGGACAGAGGCAACTCCTTATGATAAAGTCTGGTGATTCATCTGAAATTGCGATAGACTTGATTATTAGCTGAGAGCTTGGTTTCTGACTTCCTCTGGAGTCACCCCCATGGCCTCATGCAGGTAAGGATACCACCACAGCATAAGGACTGATCTGGTCCCATGTACACACCTGGGAGAAAAGGTGCCTGAAAAAGGTCTCTAGGAGGTGGCTCCGCTGTTCCCGCGTCACAGCTGCCCTCATCAGCTCCTGCTCCCGCAGCTCCCACTCCTGGAAGCTCAACCCACTCTCCTTCAGAGCTGCCCGGAGGTTTTCCACCAGCACCTGCCGCTCTTCCTCCAAGTTAAACAGCAGTACCTAAGGAGGCAACCCAAGAAAAGCAACCATTTGTCAAGGCCTCTTGAGGTTAGGCACTTTACATGGATTATGTCAGAGGGGCCACTGGAGTGGCCTTGCAAAAGAGATACTGTATCTTCTTTTACAGAAGAGGAAAGGGGCTCAGTAGGGTTAAGTGACTTGCTCATAGGTGTAGAGTTTGCATGTAAAGGCACATATACAAAGACATTCTTCCCTCTCTTACACATTGGAGAAGGAAGAGGAGTTTGGGGAGGCCAGAGGATGGAGAGGATCATGAGCCAGGCCTCTGATTTAGCTCTCCTCCAAAATCTCTAAAAATTCACTACATCCTGAGATAAGAGGACAGGGAAGAGGGCTTTGCTTCTTGCAAGGACACCCAGCTAGGATCTGACAGGTAGTCCTTAGGAAAGGAGGAGGCAGACTGTGGTTGCAAGAGTTAGGAGGCAGCCATGGAGATTATGTCATCCAGCAGGCCCAGAGCAGGATAGATGTGTCCAAGTTTATCTCTCTATCAGGTACTATCAGGACAAGAAGCCAGACTCCTGCACAATATCATTTCCTGTCTCCTGGCCCTGTGCTCCCTCCCCTCCACCTGGCTGCCTCCCTGGCTTTGGCTGTGGACAAGAAGTCAGAGGCCAGCTGAGCCATACCAGATCATACTCCTTGGGGATCTTGAGCAGCAGTGTGCGGCGTCCATGGTTGCTGGACAGGATGAGGTTGACCTGCTGTGGAGGCTGCAGCTGGATGGTGCGGAGCACAGTGAGGCTCCCGTCTACCACACGGATCTGCCCGGGCTGCAAGTGCAGCAGCACTGGCCGGCAGGGCTCCTTGCGGCCTTGCCATTCCAAAGCTGGGGGCAGAGAGACAGGGCTTTGTCAGCTGGGACCTGCCAGAGGTACAGTGGGAGGAAGAGGGCCAGCTCAGGGCCGAATTTAGATCAAGGCCTCCACAGTTCATTGTCCCCTTCTGGAGTAATGAGGGTAATTTCCTCCCTGAAAGCCCGGGAGTGCCTCTAGCCCCATGGAAAGAATAGTAACTATCATTATCTGAATGTTTACTATGTGTTCAATACTATACCAAGTGCTCTGCATGAACTAATTCATTTAATTAAAAATCTGTGAGGTAGGTGCTATTATTATTCCTATTTTATAAATAAGAAAAAAAATATATTTAGAGTGATTTAAATATCTGCCTAAGGCCCAATAGGTGGTGGTGGAACCAAGATTCCAATCCCAGTCTGACTCTGGACCTTCATTAGTCACTTCTCTGTTGCCTGGAGTTCCAGCGTGATAGGCTACAAATCAGCAGTGCCCAGGGATTCGTGAATCGTAGTAACCCTGTAAAATCCAGGCAGGGTCCAATGACTCCTGCACATTAGGAACTCTGGAGGCTGCAGGACTCCAGGTCCAACTTCTGCTTAATGCCACTGTGGCCTTGCCTACAGTCCTAGAAAAGGGAGGCCTTTTCCTTAGGCTGCTGGGGTAGCGATGGGTGGCTGTAGCACTGAGCCATTTCCTCCCTACCTCCATCCTGGCCGGCCCTAGGCCTACCTTCCGTGCCTCCCACGAGCTTCTCAGACACGATGCTCTGGCAGTCCTGGCCCTGGAGCCTCTTGAAATTTCTCATCCGGAGCCGGGCAACAATCCAGGCGCTGAGCAGGCTCACTGGGAAGGGGGAGAGGTGGAGGTCTGGGGAATGGAAGCGGCTCCTTTCTCAGCTCCTTTCCTGGCAATACCCCCTATTCTCCCCACCTCCTAGGTCAGCTTGCTCAATTGTTTAAAATTGTGAAGTTTCCTGGGGGGAGCTCCTCTGCATCCCATGGGGAGCTTTGGGTAGCATCTAAGATGCCCACCCTGCCTCCTCGGTTTCCAACACTCTCGTCCCTTCCTAGCCAGAGACTAAGTCCAGAGTCTTTGTGTCAGGGACTAGACTCACCCCACCAGGCTGCTAGATAACCCCCACACAGCGTTGCCAAAGACCAAGCCCCAAGCCCTCACTCCAGCGACTATATGTGCCCCGCCCTTGTTCTTAAACAGGGATTTGCCTCTGACAGTCCTCTAGGCCCAGGCTTGCAAAAAGCTGTGGTTTATAGATTCCCCCTGGCTCTTGACCAAAGCTGGGCCCAGTGGGGGGAGTCCCAGGGTAACAGGGAGGAAGTTCCCCCTGGAGCTGATTTCTCTCCAGGCCAGACACTTCTCTTGTCCCTTCCTCCTCTAATGTTTTCTTTGCCTACCCAGAAGGAACATGCTCTGTGTGGTTTGCTGTCGTTATTGGAACCACCTGAACCGCATCCCCTAGCTTGCATCTCTCACCTGGCCCCACTCTGTTCATCATTTTACCTAAAGGAAAGCAGCAGAGGGTCCCGATGGTGACCCCGAAGCCAAATCCACTGCCCTCAAAATAGTCACGGACAACGTAGGGAGCACAGGCTGGCAGGCCTTCAGTGCTGAGCTGTCTCGGCTGTGGACAGGGGTCTCCTGGGGAGGAAGAGGAAGCCAGAGTCCTGGGTGCTGGGCCATAGGTGCTGGCACAGGATCACTGAGGAGGTTAGGGTGGCAGAAAGTGGGTGGGGCACTCTGGGTAGCTGAGGGGAAGGGGCTTCTTTGGGTAACGAATGGGGTATAAAGTGAATCCCAACCTCCGTCTCTCCCTCACACACACGTGTACACACACACACGAGCGTGTGCCTCACTGCTGTGGGGTTGGGATATCCTTACTGCACTCAGCTCTCCTAATATTATACCCAGCCTCAGCTCCATCACAGCCAAATAACCTCCTCACCAGCTCTCTCTGAGTTTCAGTTTTTTTGCCCTCACTCAGCACCTCCTGGAGTTGTGCAGAGGGGACCCTACAGAGCTGCAAGTGGCGGCCCTGGCACCTGGAGTTCCCAAGGGCAGAACTATAGCTCATGCCCTTCTTGGAGCACAGAGGTGGTCGTTCAGCGACATTGAGCCAAGCCCAGAGCTGAAGAGGGACAAGGCTCCAGACCCACCACTCCCCCAGCCACCCCTTGGCCATTCACCTTTATGCCAGACAAAGACACTGGGCTGCAGAGCACCAGGGTCAACGTTGATAACAGCAACCAGCACGTCCCGCAGGGTGGTATTTCGGATTTCTTCAATCTCCTTCTTGGAGAACAGCCTAAGATGGAGGAAGTAGAAGTCACTGGGATGGAAAGGGGATGCAGGCCTCCAGCAACCCCAGGCCCAAGGACCCAGGTGAGAAAAGAGACCCAGCAGGGTTGGGAAGTTGGTTGTGGGCTGGCTTGGAATCAAGGGCTCATGGGAGCTGTCTAAGGCCAGGCAGAAGATCTGGGGCCCAGGCCAAGGTAGAGACTGAGGTAGAGGCCCAGCAGGCCTTACCCATTCCTGGTGTTCTCAAACCAGTAGCGGTCACCATCCCGCAGCCGCACAAACTGGTCGAGGACAATGGTGCTGAACAGGGGCCCGGGGTCCCCATGGCTCTCCAGGAGTCCCCCCGGGAGCAGCTCTAGCCAGGACAAGTCCTGGTTGTACAGGGAGGCTGTGGCCTCCAGTACCTGGAAGCAAGATGGGGCAAGAGTAAGAGAAAGGACCCGGCACCCACCCTCAGGCAAAGAGATGGCTCCCAGGGATTTGCCCTGGGAATGATAATAATAAATGACAGTAACAGTAACTCACTCATATATAGTGCTTATTATGCCCCAGGCACTGCTCTGAGTGCTTTACAAAAGTGAACGCCATTTATGGAAACCCTGTCACACATTCAACTGCCTATTTTAACAAAGTTATAAAACAGCCAGCCAATCCCCTTCATAACTTGTTCTTGAAAAGGTATGAAAGTTGAAGGGCCAAAATCAGAATGTGCAAAAGTAGAATAGTAGAATGAAGTCTTATAAAAAGTTTCTTCTTTAGAGCTGAACATTTTTTAATCAAATGCCTGATTATATATTACCTTTTAGAGAGTTTTCAAAAACATATCACCAGTATTTTCTACCTGACCTTTACTTTAGTTTTTTTCTCTGCAATGTAAATAGCACTTGAACCAGCTTAATTCCACTGAGGCCCATTTGAAGCTAAAGGTTTGCTACTTTTGGTGTGCCTGGTGATTCCTAGCTATATATTGAGTTTATAAAGCTTATGAGCCCCCATGCTCATATAACTTCTTTATTGGCCTTTCAAATCTCCACTTCCCAATAATTCTATAAAATAGTAAGGGCAGGCTGGGTGCAGTGGCTCACCCCTGTAATCCCAGCACTTTGGGAGGCCAAGGCAGGCAGATCACGAGGTCAAGAGATCGAGACCATCCTGGCCAACATGGTGAAACCCTGTCTCTACTAAACATACAAAAATTAACTGGGTGTGGTGGCACATGCCTGTAGTCCCAGCTACTCAGGAGGCTGAGGCAGAAGAATCGCTTGAGCCCAGGAGGTGGAGATTGCAGTGAGCTGAGATCATGCCACCGCATTCCAGCCTGGTGACCAAGTGAGACTCAGTATCAAAAAAAAAAAAAGGCAAAATGCAACAAAATAGGCACACAATTATAGAAACACTGCTGTGTCAAGATGATAAGGTAGCCCAATCTGGTCTCTTGGCTAGAAGGCATGCCACCAGTCCAGGTGATAGCTCACAGTGTAACAGCTGACTCCTGAAAGGCAGCTTTAACATGCAAGAAAGCACAGCTTGTTCCTAAGTCAAGGGCCTTCTATATCCACTCAGGAGGGTGGAAAGAATAGTAAATGAGATAATGCCTATCAAGTGCCTGGCAAACAATATATGTTCAATACATGCTTGCTGGATCTGAATAATCAGAGTCCAAAGCCAAATCTTGCTGGTAATCTTCATCTTGATATGTAACACTGGGAAAAGTGATCTGGGTAAGCCCTCCCCCTCCCATTTGGTGCTTGTCTCTGGTACTCAAGTATCACTGTCCATCTTCCATGTCTCAGGCCCCTGTGCCTCGTTCTTCCCACCCTACCCTCTGAATCTTGACCCCTCCTCACAGTGTCATCACTCCGGGAGAGTGCAGTGTTGATGTCCTGCCAGCGGGTCATGGGAGGCAGGCCTAGCGCTGCCCTGGCCTTGTTGTAAGAGGGCAGGCCCAGATCTCTGCCCCGCTGCAGGCAGCTGGCCAGGTGGTCTGTGCGGGAAAACTTCAGTGGCCCAGGCCAGAAATCTGGAAATGAGATACCAGAGAGTGTGAGGGAGCTCAGGGCCACCATAGCAGTCTCCAGTCCGGGCCCCAGGCTCCAACCAGCCCCAGGGAACTTGAACCAGAAGAAGCCATGGTCAGCAGGTCAGAAGCTCTGTCGGCAGTGAGTGCAGTGCAGGCTCCCAGCCCCAGGTATCCCCTCATGCCTGGCTCTGGAGGTCCAGTTGAGCCTCTTCCCAGAGGCCAGGAGTTCACATCCTGCAGGGACAGCCTCAGACTCACCCCGCACATCTTCAACCACCACATGGTCCTCTCGCTCTGCGATCTGGGAGGTCATGCCCAGCAGCAGTGCATCTACATCTTCAGCACTTTGTAGGCTTGGGTGCTTTATAGGTTGGGAGTGGGGAGGAGAGGAGTGTGGTTAATGGGGTCAGAGGTTAGACAGCCAGGCTCCCTCCACATCATCATCCTTATCCCTGAGCCCACCCAGTCCTGCTGTTTGCTCCCAAACCGGTGGGACATTCCTCCTCTGCAGGTTGATTCCCCACTCAGTATGAGGGATGTCCCCATCCAAAGTCCATGCTGCCTAACAGAGGTCTGTACAAACACAAGGGATCTTAACATTTTCCTTCTACCTTGGGATATTTGACAATGTGGTTGGCAAAGGCACTGGAATATCTAGGTCTTGGACCTCTGTTACTAACCAGCTGTATGAACTTGGGCAGGTCACAGGCCCTCTCTGAACTCCGTTTCTTTCCCTTAATAAAAAGGGACGCTGATGAGGGGGACACTGAGGCCTCTTTTGATTCAGCTCCAGGGCTCTGATTCTATGGCTTCTTTTCTCTTTCTCCCCACCCCCTTCCCCTCAGCAAACACTTTACACAAAGTATCTCATTTTGCTGTAAATTAATGATCAATGTTATTCACCCATGCTGGCCTGATTTGGATGGATGGACAATCCCTAATAATTTCTAAGAACCCCTGCTTCCTCCCCACCTCCCTTGCACATACACATTCACACACTGCCGGGGGTTTTTGTCTAATGGGAAGTTTCTCTGGGGCAAGTAAGGCTAGCTAGGGTACTCCAAGGCCTATAGGACACCTAGAGCTCTCAAGGGAGAGGGAAAAGGTGGGAGGGAGCAATGAATGCAGAACCACACCTGCACAGGCCCTACCAGCTCTCCCATAGCCCTGAGGTGGGGGCGGGGGTGGTGGGTGGCTTTTGGCCATGTCCAGCTACCCGGTCACCTCAGACTTTGTAGGGGAGATGCCTGAGGTCCTCCAGGCTGCCTCCTTCACCCCAGCCCATCCCAGCTGCCTGCCTCAGCCTTACTGCCCACTTTCACCATGTGTGTGTGCGTGTACACACACATATCCACCCACATCTGTGGCCCCCTGCTCACACCTCCCGGCTCCAGTAGCTGTTGCAGACCCGGAGAGCTCTGGAGACACTTGAGTTCCGATTGATGACCCCCTGGAAGTGGCAACTGGCGTTTCTGAAATGCAAGGAGCAGGGAGATGGTGACTGAATAATGGGGTTATAATGTCAGGCGTCAGTTCTGGTCTCTGAGGTGGTAGCCAGGGGCCCCAGGCCATTGCCTCTCAGAGGTGGCATGTGGGTCTGACCTTAGTAAGTCCTGGAGGATCTCACTTTTGGAAGGTCCCTTCCACAACATCAGACCAAATATCTAAAATGTACTCACAGCTCATTAACACACGCTATCTCTCTGACTCTCTCACAAGATATGTATATACACATATATATAAAATATATATACACACAGTTATATATACAATATATGTGTATATATATCATTTTTTCTTTTTTTTTTGAGACAGAGTTTTGCTCTGTCACCCAGGCTGGAGTGCAGTGACGTGATCTCAGCTCAATGCAACCTCCACCTCCTGGGTTCAAGTGATTCTCCTGCCTCAGCCTCCCGAGTAGCTGGGACTACAGGCACATGCCACCACACCTGATTAATTGTTGTATTTTTAGTAGCGATGGGGTTTCACCATGTTGGCCAGGATGGTCTCCATCTCTTGACCTCATGATCCGGTCACCTCAGCCTTCCAAAGTGCTAGGATTACAGGCATGCGCCACCACGTCCAGCCCATATAGACATTCTTAAAAGGATTCAAATACTGTTATTTTGAAACTACTTGTCTATGAATAACTCAATTGTCTATGATTTCTTAGACATCATCAGGCATACCCCAGAGATTATTCGAGAGTAAATCTAATCTACGAATTGGTTTAAATTATAAAGCAATTATTAAAAAATAGACATTTCTAGAGTAAATCTAATCTATGAATTGTTTTAAATTATAAAGCAAAAAAATAAAGACAAGCTTTGTTTCATATACACTTATTTAAATATGTGTCTTTTTTTTTTTTTTGAGATGGAATTTAGCTCTTGCTGTCCAGGCTGGAGTGCAGTGGCGCAATCTGGGCTCACAGCAATCTCTGCCTCCCGGGTTCAAGCAATTCTTCTGCCTCAGCCTCCTGAGTAGCTAGGATTACAGGCATGCACTACCCAACCCACCTAATTTTGTATTTTTTTTTTTTTTTTCTAGTAGAGATGGGGTTTCTCCCTGTTGGTCAGGCTGGTCTCTAACTCCCAACCTCAGGTGATCTGCCTGCCTCGGCCTCCCAAAGTGCTGGGATTACAGGCATGAGCCACATCTCTAGGCCTGTGTCTTTTTATTTTTAAAATTCCCTCTTCATTATTTTTAAGCCAATATTTTCCTTCAGATTGCACACATTTTAGAATGCTCTGCTCCCAAAAGCTTGCAGGCCGTGAGCCCTGTGATTATAGCTAAAAATGTCCCCAGTGTAGTGTCAAGACATGAAGTATAGACCAGTGGGCTTTGTGACACCCTCTGAACCTTTATTACTCTATGTTTAATGGGCAGGCAGGTGGGCAGGGGGTTTGGGTGGGTGGGTGGTTAATCGCTATACCAGCTGCAGGAGGACTGCAGTAAAAGTACTTAAAAACCACAGTGATGTATCTTTTAAAACAATTGTTTTCCTTCCCCTCTCTATTCATCCTTCCCTTGGGGAATGGGTACACTTCAGGCTGATAATCCTGTACAGAGGGCTCCTGAGGGCAGATCTTGCGCAATTGACAGCCCCATCCCTCCCAGCACACAAACCTTTGAGCCCCTCCCTCACCTCATGTAGACGCCAGGGGGCACCATGGTGGAGAGGAACTGCTCAGAGGCCGCTACGAACTCCGAGGAGATGCTGGGGTCCAGAAATGGCCGGTATCCTAGGGAATAGGAGAAGAAAGGAGGGAAGAATTTAGCCCTTAAATCCCCAACATACTCTACACCCCACTCCGCAAAACACTCTCACGCAAGCCCTCCTATCCTCCTTCCTCACTCCCTCACCTTTATACTCCGGGGGCGTTTTCTGCAGGAAGCTGGGCAGCCACTCATACACAGCGATGTTCTGAGGGGCAGAGAGGGGCGAGGGGAGGTGCGAGTTGGACCAGGCGGGGCCTGGAAGGGTCTGAGCCCAAGGACGGCTTCCATGTGGAGATAAGGACCAGGCAGGGGCAGTCATGGGAGAAACGACTCAAACAGGAGCGGTGTGAGGCCTGTCCCCGAAAGGAACCAGGGCATTTGGGCAGTGGGGGTGGGGAGGTGATAAATCATCATCACCAGCCAGATTTCACCTAGAAACAGCGCGTGCACCCCTATCATTTACAGCGGCTTCCCTAGACCTCGGCTGTCTGGGAAGGGGTTTCTGGGTGAAGGTTGTCCACGGATGGGGAACTCCGTGGGCAGCGCAGTCTCCCGTGGACCTGCACGCGGAAGGGGGGACGTCGCGGGGCGGGGACGGCTGACCTGGTAGGTGGCGATGACCCTCTTGCGCGCGTGCTGGAACAGCTCCTCGTCCCCCCAGTCTGGGTGCTGGCGGGCCAGCCTCTGCGCGCACAGGTTGTGGTAGCGGAACCAGAGCAGGCCCAGCGCCTGCAGGAAGGGCTCCCGGTTCCCTCGCTCCGCACCGAAGGCTGCATCCGACGTGGGGGCGCAGGGGGG